ACTTTGTTTCTTTAGTTCATGCCACTGAAATGTGAAGTAACTGCCATATCCATGGATCATCAAGAATTTGTTATTATCTGGTTAACATTTTACATTTTGTATTTAAGCCTGTGAATCATTTTGAGTTAATTTCTGACAAATGTGTAAGAACTGTGTCTAGGTTCATTTTTTGCTTTTGGATATCCAGGTTTTTTTTTTTTTTTTAAAAAGGTTTGTTTATTTTACTTGAGTTACGGAGAGAAAGAGAGACGGAGAGAAAGAAGAGAGAAAGAGAGAGGGAGAGAAATAGAGAGAGAGAAGAGCTCTTCCATCTCCTGGTTCTGTCCCCAAAAGGCTGCAGTGGCCAGAGCCGGGCCTGTCTGAAGCTGGAAGCCAGGAGCTTCTTCTGGGTCTCTTACATATGTGCAGGGACCCAAGGCCTTGGGTCAGCCTCAACTACTTTCCCAGGCTATTGGCAGGGAGCTGGAGTGGAAGTAGAGCAGCTATGACTAGAACTGGCATCCATATGGGATACTGGTGCCACAGGTAGAAGATTAGCTTGCTATGCCACCATGCCAGCTCCCAGATGATTTATGTATGCACATACACACATATACATGTATGTATGTATGTATGTGTGTGTGTATGTGTAACTGTTTTTTTCCACTGTAGTATTTTTTATCAAAGATCAGTTTACTATATTATGTGAATCTACTCTGGGCTTCCTATACTGTTTTAGAAGGAAGAAGATTACCTCTCTTCTACTTTATTCTCTGTCCTTTTGGTGAATGCAGGCAATGGTGAGGTCATTTCATGATGCTGAGACAGGAAGTTATGGCTAGATGATGAGAAATACCAACAAAGGTAACACCAACTTCTCATTATTTTCCTGTTCAGAAGAGTATTTTGACATTTCATTGATTTTCAATATTTCCTGGCATTGTGAAAATTCAGGATTTCTTATTCCTGCAAAGCTCATTACTTTGCCTCCCTAACTCCTATGTTTCTAAAAATTTTAAAAGAGTTCTTATGGGTTGGGTTCAAAATTTAAATTTCAGAGTCATGTGAAGGATATACAGGTGCTGATGCAGTTACTGAGGAGTAGAGCTTCTTGACTGTTCCTTTCGGTTGAGCTGGAAGTCAACATCAAATTTTAGTCTTATTTTTTTGTTTGTTTAAAAGGCAGGGATACAGACACAGAGATGGTCCAGCTGCGGATGCCTGCAACAGTGAGTGCTGAGACAAGCTGAAGCTAAGAGCCTGAAATTCAACTTGGGTCTCCCATATGGGTGATAGAGATGTAGTTACTTTAGCCATCACTTGCTCACACGAGATTATGAATTAGAAAGAGCTGCACTTGAACCTGAGTGGCTTGTACTCAAACCAGACTCTGAAAAGAGTCATACTACAATGAAAGAAAAGAATTGTCAGAATTTCCTGGGGTCTTAATGGAAGAACATGTGTTTTTGTCTTTTACAGATTCTAAGCAAGCCTGACATGTTTGGTTCTTGCTTTCCTTCCATTTTAAAATCGAACAATACATGCTCTTCTCTCTATGGTTTGCTCCCTTAGTATTGGAATAGCAAGGAACACCAGCAGAATCTTCTTTGAGTTCAGTGAACTGCCAACCTTAGCCTTATCTGGAACCTTAATTCTCCTTTGCCAGGTAACAAAGCATGCTTTATATGTTCCAGGGCACAGCACACACACACACACACACACATTTAGAGTTACCATTATTCTTCCAAGCACAACAACGGTGGCCTTCAAGTGAGTTTCCAACGGTGCAGCAGTGACAGCATCCAGTTTGTAGATAATGACACTGCTGTCTTTGCCCAATGCAGCAAGGACAGAGATGGGCTCCAGGCTGGAGGAAGGATGTGTGAGTGAAAGGAGAGGTTCCAGAGAACAGGCAGGTTGTTCTGTCTTGGAGAAGCGGATTTCGCTGGGTTCTTCCCTGAGAGGAACTGGTGAAATGAGGCAGGTGGTTACTGAAAATGGCAGAGGCCCAGGTGACTGAATCCCTGTCCACTTTCCACACTGCCAAATGCCTTGAGGGCTTAGATGCGATTGCAAAGAACAGACTTGATGGGCCTGCTGAGTGGTACAGTGGTAAAGCAGCTGAATTGCAAGCTTGGCATGCCATCTAGGTGTGCCAGTCAGAGTCCCAGCCTGTCCAGTACAATCAGCTCCCTGCTTATGCACCTGAAAGGGAGAAGAGGACCACGCAAGTACTTGGGGGCACTGCCTTCTACCTGGAGATTCTCATGCAGTTCTGAATCATGGCTGTGGCCTGAGCCAGACCTGGCTGTTGTTGCAGGCATTTGTAGAGTGAAGAACCAGATGAAAACTCCCTCTCCCTCTCTCTTGTTTTCAGATCAACTTTTACTTGATCTTAGCCAAAAGCCTGAGAGGCAACAGGTTAAAAAATCTGAAACTGAAAGAGAGAGAGAGAGAGATGAGTGAAGGAGACCCAGGGCGTGCTGTGCCCAGGGCATGCTGTGCCCAGGGCCTGCCACGTGGCCACTGGGCAACAACAGAGAGGGTGACTCTGTGGGCACCTGTGGGTCCTGACAGGGGAGCGTCCTCTTTCTTGGGCGAGTGTGGACACTACACAATGACCGAGTTGGCATCACAGAACGAGCAAAGGCAGTGTGGCCCAAAGGCCAACTCGGGGCACGGACCAGGGTTTGCTTGCTAGGGCTGGAGGGACAGGTGGGCCTTGTGTGAGACTCAGGCAAGGCTGAGGGCTCTGTGCGGGGGGGCCCCCCCAGCCGTGTTCTCTTGGGCGCCAAAGTGCCTTCCTCCCTGGCCTGGCTCCTGAAGGCATCCAAGAGAGGGCGGGACCCCCGCCAGGGCCTCGGCCCGCCCCGACCTCAGCGCTGACTGGCAGCCCCTCCGTCCACCAGCAGTGTCCAGGGAGGGGGCGGCGGGGCAGGCGCTCAGGCCTGAGGTGCAGAGGCGCCCCGCGGCGGGCTGTATCCCTCCGCTGCTGTGGGGGACGCGGCTCCGCCGACCCCCGCAGCCAGCGCGGCCCCGCTCCCGCACAGCCGCCCGCCCCGAGCCCCTGGCTGCTCGCGCGGGGTGGTGGTCGCCAGGTGGGCGCGCGGGGGTCTCGGGCCGTGGGCGCCCCCCGTGCCGTCCGGCCCCGAGGCTGGCGCTCGTGCTGGCCCCGCCCAGCGCAGGGTCGGAACTACGGTGGGCCTGGGAGGGGGCGTCGAGCTGCTGGCGACATATCCCTCCGCCCTCTTCCCGACAGGCTCGCGCGGCGCCGGGCTCCTGCCGCAGCCTGCGCAGCCCCTGGCTGGTTTGGTGCAGAGGCGCGGGGGGCGCTGGCGTCTCTACTCTGGTGGTGGCACGGGAAACTGGGAAGGCCAGGAGAGAGAGGAGCGGCAACAGGAGGAAGGGCAGGCTGCAGCCCGGGCCTGGAGCCCGTGCAGGCAAGTGGGGTTTGGTGGCGGCGGGGTGGCCCCCCGTGGTCGGTGGCTGACTGCTGGTTCCACACCCTGACAGCCTGGCAGGGAAGCTGTGTCCAGTCTGCGCTGATCAGGGACCCCTGTGGCCGAGAGGTACGTGCTGCCAGCGACCCCTGCATGCAGGCCTGGTTGGGCCGTGGCGGAGCGGGTGGTTGCAGAGGCAGCAGCACATCGTGTGGAGGCTCAGGCGTGGACAGTTTGCCAGCCACCTTCCCCGCACTGGTGCCCCGCCCTCCTCCACGGGGCAGGTGCCTGGAGATGGCAATGGGGAGGCGGAGGTGGGAGAAATGGTGCAATGGGGTCTGGGCTGGGGGACGCCCTGGAGGCTTGCAGGGAAGGATGGCGGTTGGGCATCTGAGGTCTGTGGGCAGCCCAGTGGAGAGCAGCTGAGAGCCCTGAGTATGGAACCTGGTCCATGGTCCCGTGTCCTGCATATTTTCCCTTCCTACAGGCTTCGGGTTGATGTCCAGGGCTCACGTCTGCATGGTATGTGTGGCTGGTATGTGTGGCTTCTCCTGACAGGCAGTGGTGCCTATCCGTAGAGGAGAAGCGTGAGCGAAAATAGAAGCAGAAAATGGCCCAGATGTATGGACCTGTGCGTGGTGTGGGTGGGGGAGGAGATGGGGGTGAGTGCCGCCACAACATGTCTGGCTCCCCAGATTCTTCTCTAACAGCATTGCAGGTCCTTCTTCACCTTGCTTCTCCACCCTCCCAGACTGGGGGCCTGGAGAGGGCCTCTGCAGCTCGGGAGGATGAGAGAGGCACAATCACAAGTGCCACTTTGCGATCTGCTTTCTAGAATGTGCGATGTCTTCTTCCCATTTTGTGCTGCGCAAGGCGTGGGGATGTGGTGCACCTAGTGGTGAATCCTCAGAGTCGGAGGCGGGGGGGGATTGGGCAGAGTATGACGTCAAGGGAAGGAGTTTGTCTGTCTGGAACCCTGCAACAGGACTGAGACCAGACTATTCCACCAGCGTGACCTCAAAGGTTGAAAGGCAGATCTTTCTTGGTATCCATCTGTGCACAGGCTTCAACTGCTACTGTTATTTCTTGCCTGTCTTACCTTTCCATCTGTTTGTCCATAGGCCTGCTTTAAGGCTGGTCAGTACTGCAAGAAAGGAAAGAAGGAAGAGACTGGCTCAAGTTTCTGGAGGCTGGTGAGGAGGGGTGCGATGCAGGGGACAGGTGTAGATGTTGATCCCAGTGGGAAGCGGTGTTTGTCTGGGGGCTAGGGTGTGTGCTATCTGCTGAGCACTCAGATGCCCTTCTTTCCTGTGTTTGCATGTCTTAGGACCCCTCCCCACCGCAGTCAGCTGTGGGGCTTGACACCAGTTGCTCAAAGAGAGGAGGGGGAGATTGCACCACATCAGTGAAGGTTGGTATGAGAATGGGCTCACTTTGGGTGGGGTAGTGGAGCCTAGCAGAGCTCCAGGAATGATGATGGTCCATTCAGGGGCTCTTTAGCCCCTCTTAGTTCCCCAACACTTCCCACCACCTACAAACCCATGTGTAGCAGGTAGGCAGCAGCTACAGAGACCTTCTCCTATTCCTGCTTTCCCACCCAGGATTCAGTAAGTCTCTCTGTGTAAGTCTGCACAGTGTGGTGCATTTTGAGGAGATTCAGATTCCCATTTCATTTTCTCTCTCTAGATTCTCCTGCAGAGGCAGCTCTGGTGGTATTGGAATTGCTGTGGACCACCACCCACAACTGGTCTGCACCCACCAGGAGCCACCCATCTTTCCTCCGCTTGGTTTTACCTCTTTGAACGTTTTTTCTCTGTTACTAAGACTGCTTGAAAAGGATAATTGTCTCTTTATCTCACTTACAGCCTTTTTGCCTGAATAATTGCAAGACAGTTAAAACTTGAAACAGATTTCTAGTTGAAACAGAAATGTTTGATTGTTACTGAGTGTGGTGTGTTACTCAGGGCTGCATTACTGAGCTTTCTTTAGCTTGTACAATGACTGGTCCAGAGAATGAACCTAGTGTTTCTGCTGGGCCTGAAAAAAAGACTGGGGAAGATGTTTTGGGTGTTACTGAGAAAGAGAATGTCGTTCCACTGGTTGTCAGACCCAAAATTAGGACTGAAGCCCAGATTATGAATGGGGCAAGACCCAAAACTAAGACCAAAGGCATGCCTAGGAGAAGGGCTAAGACTGTGGCCGGTACAGGAAGTGGGACATGTAAGAGTAAGTCCAAGGGAATCTCTGTGTCAGAATCTAAAAGTAATGCCCTTGTATGGGCCCAGACTGAATCTGAGTCTGTGGCAATGAAGATAAAGGGAGAGTCTCTAACTCGTAATGCTGTTTCTGAGTCGATTGCTAAAACTAAATGTCTTTCTGTAGATACAGAACTGCTTAATATGGACACTGATGGCTTTCCCAGAAGGAAGGCCAACTCCCAAACAGGACTGCAATCTTCATTTAGGCTAGGGGAAGAGGACAGTGCTGAGTCCTGGTACTGTTCCAAGCCTCCATCCACGCAAGAGAACTCTCTGAATTCCTGGTTGTGGAGTAGAGATGAAGTCAGTTCCAGGAATCATTCTAGGAATAAGATAAAGGCCAGTAACAGGTCTCGGCACATGGACAAAAAGGAGGTTAGTATTTTTGGTAAGCCCCAGATCAACAAAGATATCTGTCCTATGTCCAGCTCTGGTTCTGAGGATGAGTCTGTTAAGATGGTGGGGTTTGGGGTCAAAGAAAAGATTGATTCCTGGTCCAGGCCCAGAGAAGAGACCAATAGCTGGTCAAGGTCTAAAACAAAAGACTACATTGACTCCAGTTCTGATTCTGATCGCGAAGACCACATGACATCTTGGTTGTTGTCTAGAGATGGAGCCAAATCCAGATCCAAACTCAGAGCCAGAAAAGAGGCTAATACCAGGGCCAGACAAAGGGCCAAGCAAGAATCTTGCGTGGATTTCATGTCTGGCTCCAGGGATGTAAGAAAAAATGAGTCCTGGTTCTTGCCTGGAGAAAACGCTGGTAACCTTTTATGGCCTAAGACCAAGAAAGAGGCCAGAGGCAGAGCAAAGGCAAAGGAAGAGGCCAAAGCCAAGGCCAGAGCCAGGGCCAAACGGGAAGCCAAGTCAGAGGAGGACATCCTCTCTGGTAACTGGCTCTGGGCTGCAGAACAATCCAGCATAGTAGATGAAGCCAACACAAAGTCTGTTTCAAAAGTAGAAGATGAGTCTCTAGTTGGGAGTTGGTTCTGGGCAGAAGAGACCAGTATGGGTACTGGGACTAGTGATAAATCCATACCAAGGGTTAAGATGGAATTTAATTGTGATTTCTCTGTTGGAACTGTGAAAAACACTAGTATGGAACATGGGACTCAAAGTGTTTCTGAAGCTTTACTAGCATCTGATGAAGAAGTCATTATTGGTTCCTGGTTCTGGGTTGGTGAAGAAGTGAACCAAGAGTCTGAGGAAGAGACCATTTTTGGGTCTTGGTTCTGGGACATTGATGAAAATAATGTGGAATCTGGTAGTTCAGTCAGCTGTGAATCCAGGCCAAGGTCTGGGGAAGAAGAAGCTATTGATCGCTGGTTCTGGGCTAGGAAAGAAGTCAGCATAGCAGCTGGAGTTGGAGAAGAGACCAAGTCAGGAGCTGAAGAAGAGACATTATTTGGATCTTGGTTTTGGTCTGAAAACCTGATCCATGTGGATTCTAGGAATGAAGCTAACTGTGATGCTGTGCCAGTGGCTGAGGAGGACTTTATTATCGGGTCTTGGTTTTTGCCCAGAGCAGAAAGTTGTGTAGAGGCTGAAGTCAACAGCAAGTCTAATGTGGAGAATGAGCAAGAGGCCATTGTATCGCCTTGGTTCGGAAGCAAAGAAGAGGTCAGTGTGAAGCATTGGCCTAGTGCCAAATGCAAATTCATGGCAGGGGCTGAGGAGAAAGATAACAGATCTTCTTTGGGGGCAGAACAACAATTTCTGTATTTTGCTAATGGAGGAAGCTGGAATCCTAGGCGAAAGGAAGAAGAGGATGTTGTTGATTCATGTGTCTGGTCCAGAAAATACTCAGTGCCAGAGGCAATTATCGAGTCCCGGTTATGGACTGCAGAAGGTGGCATTATAGATAGTGAGACTGGAGAAGAGGCTAGGTTTCCAGCTGAAGGGGAGAACATGATCAAGTCCTTGTTCTGGAAAGAAGATAAAACAATTCACAAGACAACCAGCAGGGAAGATCCTAAGCCAGAAGCTGAGAAGGAATACCTTATTGATTCTTGGTTCTGGGCTGGGGAAGAGGACAGGCTCAAGGCACTGACTGCAGCTAGAGGACAAAACAGTGTAACAGCTGAAGAGGAAGCTATTGGGTCCTGGTTCTGGGAAGAGGCTATTAGGAAAGAGGCTGAAATTTGTCACAAATCCTGTCTCAAATGTGAAGAGGAAGACATCATTGTTGGGTCCTGGTTCTGGGAAGGAGATAGTACCGGCACATTGGTAGAGGTCAGCTCTGATTCCAAGTCTGGGCCTGAGGAAAAGGAACTGATCATTAGGTCCTGGTTCTCGGATGTAGAAGTCAGTACAGAAACCGGGTGTCATGCAATGCACAAAACAAAGTCAGAGAGTAAAGACAATATTTCTGGATCCTGGTTCTGGGCTGCAAAAGAAGTTGAGAAAGAATCAAATATGTTCTGTATATCTAAGCCAGAGAATGATGAAGAAGTGACTGTTGGGTCCTGGTTGTGGCCTGGAGATGAGGCCATTAAGGAGACTGGAATTATGGCTACTTGTGAGTCAGAAAATGAGGAAGGGGATGCTGTTGAGTCATGGCTGGGAGCTGAAAATGGAACAAACGGTGAATATAGAACATCTGCTGAGGAGGACGAGGCTACAGTGGGTTCCTGGTTTTGGGCAGGAGATGAGGCCCATTTTGAGTCAAACCCTACTCCTGTGTTCAGGGCTGTTTGCAACTCCAGGTGTTCAGTTGAACAGGAGCCTGATCCTTCACGCAGGCCCCAGAGTTGGGATGAGGTTACTGTTAAGTTCAAGCCTGGTCCATGGGGAAGGGTTGGCTTCCCATATATAAGCCCCTTTAACTTTCCCAAAGAAGCAGCATTTCTGTTTTCTGAAATGCTTGGGGGACAGCCCGTGCCTGTGGAACCTAGCCCAGACAGGGAAGAGCAGGAATCCTTGCCTCAGCCTGATGAGCCTGGACTTGAGTACCCATTTCAGTATGATCCTTCCTACCGCTCAGTCCCGGAAATTCGAGAACACCTTAAGGAAAAGGAAAATGCAGAGACTGAGAACTGGTCCTGCACCTGCATACAATGTGAGCTTAGAATCGACTCTGCAGAGTTTGAAGAACTCCTTTTACTGATGGACAGAGTGCGTGATCCTTTCATCCAGGAAATATCTAAAATTGCAATGGGGATGAGAAGTGCTTCTCAGTTTACCAAAGATTTTATTCGGGATTCAGGTGTAGTCTCACTTATTGAAACCTTGCTCAATTATCCATCCTCCCGAGTTAAGACACAATTTCTGGAAAATATGATTTGTGTGACTCCACGTAACCCAAATCTAAACATGATTGAGACGTATGTTTATCAAGTGTGTGAGGATACCCTTGCCCTTGGCTTAGATACCCCTGAGCAGCTGTGTGGAATAAAGATGATCACGCATCTCACCAGTACTACTGACTATCACACACTGATTGCCAATTCTATGCCAGGCTTTCTCTCCTTGTTAGTGACAGGCAATCCTCAAACAAGGTTTCATGTTTTGAAAGTACTTCTGAATTTTTCTGAAAATCTTTTCATGACAAAAGAGCTACTCAGTGCTGAAGCAATGTCAGTATTTGTGGAACTCTTCAGCAGGAAAGAGACACGTGACAATATTCAAATTATTCTTGCGATATTTGAAAATATTGGTAACAATATTAAAAAAGAAGCATTGTTCACTGATGATGATTTCGATCTAGAGCCACTTATTTCTACTTTCCATGAGGTTGAGAAATTTGCTAAGGAATTGCAAAACAAACCAGATAATCAAAATGAGTCTGAAGCAGAGCAAGAAAATTAGTATGATTAATCACTTGACGGATTGTTCTTTTGTTGCTGTGTTGTGCTCCTAGAGTAATGCTTTGGTTTTCAAAGTCAGTTTTATGTTGCACTGTACATCTTTAATTCTAATATTAACTGGCCAACTCTGTGTGTAAGATCACTTTCTGATGCCAAATGAGAATTGGAACTGAAAACACATTTGTTGATGTTTATCTTGTCCAAATTGTGGTACTAGCATTTGAGCTTATCGTGAACTGAGCCATCATAAAATAAGCTATTCTCCTACAGTTGTTGTTCCAGTGTTCAGCTACCTCTTTGACTCTTGTATGTGTTTCAGTAAAGTTCTGTGTTAAAACTGGCAGAAATCTGACCCGACGTGATAGCCTAGTGGCTCCTTGCCTTGTATGTGCCAGGATCCCATACGAGTGCTGATTCGTATCTCAGATGCTCCACTTCCCATCCAGCTTTAACTTGTGGACTGGGTAAGCAGTAGAGGACGGCCCAAAACCTTGAGACCCTGCACCTATGCTGGAGACCAAAGGGAGCTCCAGTCTCCTGGCTTCAGATTTACTCAGCTCTGGCTGCTGCGGCCACTTGGGGGGAGTGAACCAGTGGATGGAAGATCTTTCTTTTTGTCTCTCTTTCTGTCTGTAAATCTTACATTTCAATAAAAAATCTTAAAAGACTGGTAGAAATCATTCTTCCTGAATTCAAAACACTTGAACACAGAGAGACATAAATGCTTGAGTAATATGCTTCATGGAAAGCTGCTATTCAGGGCATGCTTCAGAGAAAAAGGACCTCTTTAGGTTGGACTTTAAAGTGTAGGGCCAATGCCTGTGGTGTAAAGAAAGGATGGAGTTGGAGCAAAATTTTCCTATGGGAGTGGGATCCAGTTTGCCAAGGGTAAGAGTAGTATATTGAAGGATACAGAGCATGAGGTGAGTTTTAGGGAACTTAGAAGATGCACTTAGCTGATCAAAGTACAACTATTACTTCAATGTTACCTAAAGGGCAAAGGAACAAGATACACGAGTTTAATTGCATCAGAAAGATGACAAATAGGATGGTACCTTTATCACTTCTCTGCCTTTTGGCTAAGGTCAAGTGTAGGATGTTGCCTTTGGCAATTGTTAACAATAGTTTCATGCATCAGTTAAATGTGATACATAGGTTTTGTAACTAGGAAAAGCCCAAATAATGGGGATGTGCCATACATGAAAATTATACTTAAATTTTAAAAATAAATTTGAGGAGACAGTTTATGCAAGGTAGTATAAAAATTCTGGAAGGATATAATAAAAGATTTCAGGAAATCTGGCTTGCGAAGTAAAAAAAAAATAGAAAAAATAAATTTTTAGTGTTATCAGAAATTTCTGATTTTACACTACACATTTTTGGTTTTGTTTTACATTCAGAAAGGTTCTGTTCATACGAGGAAAAGTGATAAAATCTTTGAGGAGGAAATCTACAATAATGGGGGGATATACAAAATGTTCTTATGGAAAGAACGAGAAAACTGGCTTTTATTTTGATTGGCCTTTGGGAAAAGTGCTTTTTCGCGTTTGATTTGCAGTACATAAAAGCTTATGAAAGTAGGGTGAAGTGGCAGTATTGCCTGCCTTGAAAAACTACAGTTGTAGAATGGGATCACACAGGTGGTGGAAATTGGGAATTGAATGTTTATTTTACTTTAACATTTTTTTCGAGACCAATCCCACTGTGTACTTTATGTGTGCACATGCATGTGCTTTTACATGTCACTTGAGGAGTATTGCAAGTATTGAAAATTTATGTTACATATTCTGGCTGAGTGTTCCTTAGCATCTATGCAAGCGGCCTGCAGAGCACAGCACAGGCATAAAGCCTGCAGCTTGGGCTCCTGGAGCAGGCCACCCACCTGTTGCTCTTGCCCCATGCGCTGGAACTTCTGGTCCCTGTAGCCAGCTGCTCATCCTCTGAAGCCGGTCCCTACCATCCATGCTGTCGGCCAGCAGCAGAAAGAGGACTGTGCAGTCACGTGGGCAGGCGCTGGGTCCTGTGGCCAGGCTCTCTGCTGCCAGAGGGGCGTGTTTGCTTGCAGGAAAAGAGGAGCTGGAGGACACACACGTGCGGGTTGACACAGCAGGGTGGGAGCGTGTTGTGGTGGGTGGGGTGTCTCTATGCTGCATGGGTATGAAATTTCTCAGGCGACCAGAACCACCTGCTCTTGTCGGTAAAGGAAACAGTCCTCTGGGCAGCTGCTAGCGTCGTAGCCACCTGTGCCCTTTTCTAGGTGCTGGAAAACTCAAGCAGGCTTGCAGGAGGCGTTGATGGAGAGAAGTAGCGGTTGCTGTTGGAAGAGATGGGTGCGAGGCCTGGCAATGCCAGCCCCGGGAGGTGGTGGCTGAGCCTAGATCACTTTCTGGGACTCTCTCCCTTATTGCCTTCTCAGTGCCCTCCCCATCTCCACCCCACTGCAGGCTTCCCACCCTGGCACTGTGCTGCTGCATTTTCCTGTTTGAGTTAGGGAGTTAGGCACAGAGCTGGCTTCAGTGGATCCCTCAGAGCAGAAGCAGCGATGGGACCATTCATGAGCACTTGTGGCACTGTCCGAGGAAAGGCAGGGTGTGCCTGGGCACCTTGGGCTACAGCACAGCTCTCTTGCTCTCGCTGAGTGGGCACTGGCTCTCTCCTGGCAGGAAGAGTGGCTGAAGGCCGCTCAAAGTCAAGGGACAGGCAGGGTGACCAGTGTGACTTTTACCTCAGGGTTCTAACTGACTGGGGATGCCAGAGAAGCTTAGCCTGGGAGTTCAGAAAAAAGGGGAGGAGACAAACACGGGGAGGAACCAAGAGGCCTTGGGCTCCTAACTTGGGATTTCCCAATGATTGTGATCCTCCAATCTTTACTTAACCTGATAGAGAACTTCTGGATATCAGCCTCAGCAGCATCCTGAGGGTCTGCTCAGAGTGTGAGCTTCTTCAAAGGCCCCATCCCACTGTGACCTGAGTGGCTCTGTCATCTAATGACATGGTGATTTTTCCTTCATCTGATGCTTCCACCCCTCTTAAATTCTTGTGTACAAGGAGTGTCTTCCCAGGGGCCACTAACACATACTGATTTATAATAGATGGCCTCAAATAGTACCTCCTATGCACCTTTTGCTCTTTTTTATGGCTAATGTCTTAGAGTTGGTTATTTGCATCTATAATTGATGACGCTCCCTCAGCTGTATTCATCCCTCTTTTTCAGTTGCTCAGCTCTCTCAGACAGCCAGACTAGTTTAGGATGGTACAAGTTAGGAAAAATTAAATATACTTGATAACATCAGCTTTACTTATTTGTGCCTTTTACAGGTTTTAAACTGTTTAAATCATAAAGATCTTTCTCCTTTATAGCTGCATAGCACTCCATAGTGTAATTACTATATATTTAATTTCTCCTATATGTGCAATTATTTCTAGTATATTATTACGTATTGTTTTCAGCAGTACCAAAAAATAGCCTCATACAAATGTATTTTTGTTTGGCTGGAGATGTATCTCCATGCCTTTCTATATTTAGTTGGTGAGTCAAATATAAGTTTTTTAGGTGCACTCTAATATTTCTCTCCAAAAGAATAATACAAATTTTCATTGTTATCAGCAAAATTTATGGTACATGTTTCTACATAACCTTGAAAATTAATTTCTTATCTCTTTGACATTTATGGTATGATTTCATCTATTTCATTTCTAATGTTAATTGTTGTCTTCCTTGTTTCTTTATATTTTATCTATTGTGATATCAGTGTTATTGACCTTAATGAGTTAGCTTTCAGTTTTATTTCTGTTCTTTCATTTCATTAAGTTATGATTTTATGAGTATATGTGAAATGGCTATATGCAGACTGTGCTGGCAGGGTTGAAGAACCCATTTGCGTGTGTATCGGCTGGATCTGGGGGTGAGCCAGACTGGGCTAGGCTTCACCACCTGTTGGCACTCACAAAAACAGAAATGGTTGTGGGACAGGCCATGGTTAGGTCACAGCACTGGCCGGGTCACATGAGAGCCCGGTCTAGGAGTGAGCCACTCTGGCCTAGGCTGTAGTATCCACTTGTGAGAGCCAGAATGGGTGTGAGCCAATTGGGCTAGGCCATAGTACCCACTGGTGAGTGTCAGGACGGGGGACTGGCCATGTCTGGCTGGGCTACAGCACTCAACCGGATCTGGGGTAGGTCAGGCAGGGTTAGTACCCAGCACATACTGGCACAAGTGAGGGCCAGGATATAGTGCAGGCCAGGCCAGTAAGACTGGGCCTGTGCCAGGCTGGGATCGGCTAGGCCACAGCACCTGTCAGTTAGCGTGAGAGATAGGGCTGAGGCCAGCACTGGCAAGGTAGCTGCATCAGCCAGTGTATGCATTGCCTGTTTCAGGAGACAGACCAAATGTGACCCTTCACTATGTGGCACATATAAGAGAAAATTCTGAGTCACCTCAGGAGAGATTTCTTGGGTGACACCCCAACTAGACCATACCATTAGACTCAAACCTTAACCACAGAGAAATTCGTAAGCTATGTGATCTGACCTTGGAGTGATGTATTGGGACCAGGCCTCCTTAGCTGCTGATACTTGTACAGTGGACAACATGCCCTGTTGCACATGGGGGAACGTGCTGGCAGCTCATCAGCTTATCTGGGAGAGCAGACGACAGGGAGTGTCTCATCAGAGGATGGAAACAGAGTAAGTTAGGCAACACTCCCTGCTAAGGGTTTTTTTTTTTTTTTCAGATTTATTTATTTTTATTGGAAAGTCAGATTCAGAGAGAGAGAAGGAAATACAGAGAGAAAGATCTTCCATCTGGAGCTGTTCTGATTTGAAGCCAGTAGCCAGGAGCTTCTTTCAGGTCTCCCATGTGGGAGAAGAGTCTCAAGGCTTTGGGCCATTCTCCACTGGTTTCCCAGACCACAAGCAGAAGCTGGATGGGAAATGGAGCAGCCAAGACGTGAACCCATGCCATATGGGATCCTAGTGCATGCAAGGTGACTATTTAGCACTGGGCCCCCACCTAGCTTTGTAGCAAGTGTCTGGGACTGTGAACACACTAAGGTGGACAGGGTCAGCCAATGGACCTTGGGAAAGTTTTCTCAACCTTGGTGCAATGAAGCCAACAACATGTCAGGACTGTAAAAACCACTGGAGTAATCCCTTAGAACTTTGGGGTCTCTAAAGCATAATCAAATGAGTATCTTCCATCCCCAGGTGCTAATCTAGTTTGATAGCAAGGAGCTATCAGCAGACCAGGGTAATTAAAAGAAAAGAACTGAAACATTTTTCTCACCCATTTTCCTCCATACCTCAACCATCCTCACCGTAATTGGAAGTCCACATGGGCATGCATGCCTCTCAACTATGAAAACAATATTAAAAACAAAATAAAGTCTTATCACCTAGCCTTGTATATTTTTAAAATGAGTACATATAATTTTATACACACATTAATGTTTTCCATATTCCCACTACTTAGCCCCAGAACTCTTTCTGCTTTTTAAATATCCCTTATGGAATTTTGGCTATCCCTCCTCTCCTCCCTTCCTTCGTTCTCTCTGGTCTCCTCCCCCTCTTCTGTTCTCTCTAGTCTCTACTGTCAACTTTTATCACGTCACTTTTTTTACGATTTCAT